CCAGCCATTGAAACAAGAAGCCAGTTTTCCAGTGCGTAGTTTTCAGAATAGGAAGACATAAGTCTAACCCTGAATAACCCAGTCCGGCAAAATAGGAACAAGTCCAAGACGACGGCACCCTAAAAGCCTTTGCACTGTAGTATTTGAGGGCAAAGGTTCCTGTCTCGCCTCCTGACTGCCATGCAAACATTTCCACTTCCTCAACATTTCATCCAGTGACACACCAGACGCCTGTGGCCGTTAGTCTGAGAGGAAGCAACAACAAAAGACTCTTGCATTACCATTATTACCATTTTGGGTGCTTGCCAGCAACACTCCGGATTACCTTGCATGGCAGACAAATTGGCAATCGGAACACCAGTGTAATGGAGGCTAATTGCCTGAGTGCAGGGTTAGTTTGTATTTCATGCAAATCTCATGTGCATAGTACTGAGACTTGGCTGACAAACAGGACAAGCAGTAGCCATTCTGAAGCAAATTGAAAACGGCTCTTTGACACAGGCTGTTTACCTCATATTCACTAATTATTGCTCACAAGCGCTGATGAGCTCATCCTTAAATTTACCGTTTTGTGGGATAAGGTCCCTAGACAGACATTGATGCAATAACTTTTGTACAACCTAAAATTACAAAGAATGCATAACAGTGGATTTTTTTTATTTTTTTTGCCCAAATATAATTAGTTTGGGAATTACCCTGGAATAAAACCAAAAATACCTTGTGTAATCTTGTATCAAAGAAATGAAATCAGGTTAAGAAAGTGTTGGAAACTTGAAATACTTGAAATGAAATAATTAGCAGTAAGAGTCTGTTTTTTGTGTGTATTTTTTGTTTGTTTGTTTTTTTAAATCCTTTTCTTAAAGTGTTTTCTTTCTTCTTTTTAGTTTTTTGTAGTTCTCTCAATGAACAGGAGCAATAATTGCATACTTGACCTATGTGACTATGGAAGGTCAATCAATTCCTAGACCTGAGACCCAAATTCTACAAACCTCAAAGCCAATTCAGTATCTCTTTTGGAGCATAATAATACTAGGAATAATCAGCAGATTACAGTTTGTTCTGTTGTCGTGTAATATTTTATGTTTTCTGAGCACTAGGAGGACTTTTTGTTCACTGAAAGCTTTCAAAGTTCATTCTTGACCTTGGAGCCAGCAGATGACAAAACAATGTCATCTCAAGATCTATTTATTATCCTCTCTGGGGTTTCTGATCATATCACACGATCTTCAACAAGTACAGGTCTTATATCAGCTTGTTTGTCTGACTTAAATCTCAATCTCAGTCTACATCTGTATTAGATAATATATTCATGCCTGGTTGTGCAGTCTTTTCCACCAAATCAAATATATAATAAACATAATCCTTAATAATCATTCACAAAAGGCTTTTTTTACCTTTTAAAATACATGAGTTTTATTGAGGATGCCACATTTGATTCTATCCAAGTTCATTTCGACAGACTGATGACAGAAACCACAAAATAAAAACAGTTCTTCCCTTGTTGATGAGAGCAGCGATCATACTTTGCATTCACATCCATCCAACTTATTGTGGTGTAACTGGGTCAGGTCACGGTCAATAATACAATATGGTTAACATCTAGTAAGCACGAGTGTGTTTCCAAAATAGACCCTACTGTTGTGGGACAGCTGCAAAGTCTTTTTGAGGCCAAAGTTCAAGGACTCACGTGGACTGTGTTGTTGTATCATTCAAGACTTCTGCTGCCTCAAAAAGTCCGTCAGCGTTCATAGCGGTGACTTGCACATGCAGCGTATAGTGAGTGCTATGTGAGTGCAACCGTGCTGCTCTGTAGCCTCCTGAAGATAACCTAGTTACGCTCCCCTAACCTTACCATCTGCATCAAGCTGCCATTCGGAGCCAAGATAAATCACAGAAGCCCCTGTCCATGCTGGGAATAGAATTTTTCCAGATAAGAAGGTCAAGGGTCACATTTCTGGCCAAGGTTGACTGTCCCCGGGGCTAAATAAAGAGCCTAGGGGTTGCAGAGCAGCACAGGCCAGCACAGACCCTCACACTCAATTAGGATCAAAACAGCCGTCAAACTTGAACTTGGATTTGGGTTCCTGAAAGACAAAGGAGGTGAAGCAGGGAAGATCAAGATGTCATTAATGCATAGTGATACACGCGATCAATAACTAATTAATAGATGAATTGACTTCATCATTCAGTGTATTAATGGAAAGAGGTTGGAGGGGGTTTTTTTTCAAACTGTGTCAGCCACTGTTATGCTCTTTCGAAGGTGTTTGTTTACTCTGCTCTAACCAAAAGGGACCTCTGACCCAGACTGTGGAATGAGAGAGCAGAGCCACAGAGTAGGAGGTCACCGCCATCATTTACATCCTAAACGCATGACAGGCTGTCAGGCAGAGGTTACAGCCGGTCAAGTTCACATCCTAATGCAATGTGAGGAGGGCGGTTTCTTTACACATGCAAAAACAAATGCACAATTGCAGGCTATACAGTGATAGTATAATGCACTGCAGGACACACCTCCTTTATGATGCTGTAATTTATATGCGGTTGCTGTATGTTCACATTTGTCACACACAATACTTTGATTTACTATGTGGTGATTCACACCGACACTGTTGAATATGTACAATAAGAAAAAAAAAGAGAGAGAGAGAGGAAAAAAAGAATTACTTGAATGTTCCCAATGTGTAGTATCCTCTTCGTCAACCCTGGCCAAGCCATTCATATGAAAAGAAACACACTGAATAGATTTGCATAGAAGACAGAAATTTGTCCTTGTCCAAATGAGAACATGGCACAGCCAAACATTTAAAAAAAAAAAAAAAAAAAAACAGATTTTCAGGTTGTCCTTGTCATCCTTTGATCCCTTGTGAAAAGGCTAGACAGTCATGCTGCAGTGATCAGTCAGGGTCAAAGTCATACTCCACTTTCCCTCCCTCCCACGTCTCCACTGTAGTGTTGTAGCTCTGGCAGCTGGTGGTGCTGTAAGACTTGAGTCTCCCCCTTCGCTTTTCTCCTACATAACAAGGCTGTCACCTATTCTATCCTCCTTTGTCCTCTCCCCTCCATCACTCACCTCCATACGTCAACACTGAGCCACTGCAGCATCCTCCGCCAGCCCGCTATGATGGGGTGAGTGGGGACCAGTGCCCTACACAAACAAAGCCGGACAAGGGCAGTCTTGCAATGGAACTGTGTAACATAAAAGGAGCTGAATTCTTCACAATAATCAGGCACTTAATTAAAGTGAACTAAAAGGAGGGGGGGAAAAAAATGTGGGTTCGGAGGGGAGGAGGGAGGCTAAATTTAAAACTTAGACACTGACGCACACATGCGAGATGAAAACGTGGACACATCAATTCCAGTGTTTTTGTTTTATTGTATTTTAAAGCACACGGTTCAATCGCATGATGTCTGCCACTAGGTCATTTGTGTGAGTGGTATTAATTGGGTTCCCTGTGAGGCCACACAGCCAGCGGCTCAGTTATGATTCCAGTGGGTAAATATTTGCCTGTTCTAACCCTCACTAGGTGCCATAATGATTCTTTGTGTGTTGCACAGAGTACAATACGTTTCTGTGTACATATCACTCAGTGCCTATGTCTGCCCGTATGTTTGTGCGTCTGTGTTGCAGCTCAATCCCCCCCCCCCCAACATTCCCTCTCTACAGCTGCAGCTCGGCAGAGTTTGATCAATAACGCGTCCTTCATTCTCAAGTCAGGCCTGACCTTGGCAGCCTTTTGTCTCCTTCCAGGGGCCAGAGTGCGCATGTACAGGTTGGAAAACAAGGCTCTCAAAAAATCCACCCTTGGAAGGAAAAGAATTCCCCTCGCTCGCTCCACACTACAGCATTCTCATTAAGAACCTAATGAATCATATATTTATAGCATTCTTATCTTAGCGTAATGAGGTGATGCCACTTTTGAACTCATTTGCTAAATTACCACGGGCCACACTGAAATGGAATAAACTTCCAATTCCTTGCATATGCAGCTGCATTGATTTTCACAGGGCAACGACACCGGAGCCAAACCCGACTGAACAAAGAACATCTATGTTCAGTCACAGATGACAAAAGGTGGGCTGTGCGTTTGGAGACATTTAAAAGCACTAAAACATGGAAGACTGCTGCAGGGGGCAGTGGGAGTTGATCTGACAGATCTGTTTACATGTTAATGCAGCCTGACATAGCCTGCAGGTGGCACCATTTATAGATTACTCCTGACACACTCTTTGTTATGCAGTGATACATATTTGCATGACCAGCAAGTGAAAAATTTTCTTGCTTAGGTAGATATTGAATCTGTCTATAACGGTGCATTAAAATGAGCAACAAGTTACTTTTGTATGCTTGGGTGCTCAATCAAATAGTTGCACTCTCTAATGATTTACTCCAGCGGAAACCTGCAAAGCTCGGACGCAGGTGCTTTACAGGATCAGTGCAGAGCGATCAAGTAGTTTTCATGCACAGCTGTAGGAATAAGCTGTGTAACATCATTAATTATCAATTTAATAACAAGAACGCCAGAGATAAATGCTAAATGAGGATTGAAAAGGAGCCTTTGCTGAGAAAGTCCGTTTATGTGAGGAACTTTACTTGAGCTGTTTAATTTAAAATTATAAAACCAGCAATTGTGAGATTGTCACATGTAATGATGAGTACATTTGTACGTGAGCCATTCAGTAATGGGTTTCTGCAGGCCAGTCGCATCAAGATCAATTACAAAATGAGCACATTAGGACTGACAAATCACAATATTATGTTCTAATCCTTTTGAAGCCTTGTGGGAAAACAGTGGTAGATTTGAACGTCTTTGCTTGCTCCAGGGATAAACTGTGAGTGAGTGATTTAGCTTGAAAAAAAAAAAATCATATTTATTCTACTTCTACAAACCCACCAGCGCTGGGGAAGCCTGACAGACAAGAATTAAATCGCAGGAATTACATCAAGATTTTTCCAAATTATTCATTATTCCTGTTTAAATGATGTTAAGATAAATCCCATGTTTATGTTGAATTCTAATTTATTGCCTCGCTACATGTTTCATTGGAGTGCACATTTTACAAAGAACATACAGAGTTTAAATTGTTTTACTTGAGATAATACCACAAAAATGTGTAAACAATGTTCACCGAATCAGACATAAATCAAAAATCAGAGTTTATTAACTTACTCCACTTGTACAAAGCAAACATTTTCCAGGACTTCAGACTTTACAGAACCAAAAACTCAACACAGCTGTCCTCTGAAACGGCAATCGCTAAAAAATAAAAATGAAAAGACCAAACAATCTCCACTACACTTTCCTCTTCTGGGTGCTGATGTAAAGAACTGTAGGAGGGAGAGGGGAAAAACAAAGACAAAAATATGAGTTTGAAGTTATACATAATACAACGATAATGCATGAAAGATATATTTTTCTGCTGTCCCAAGATATGAATACACTCCCCCTGAGGCCTCTTATTGCAGTGATAAATTACTGTGAAAATTGCTACATACTGGTTGTTAAACATCAAGGGAATATTAAATGATTAGTTAAATAGGAGAAAAAGCAAAATTGAAGCAATCACAGTCATCCTCAAATGTATTCACACCCTCCCATTAAAGAAGGAAAAAAAACAGCTGTCACTGGAATAAGCTGAAATTGACAAAAGTAATAATAAATAAAAATGTAATGAAAATCATGACATTGCTTTTGAATCGTGGTTTAACAGAAATATTTTAAAAAGAACAAAAAAATCCCAACAAAACAAGCATGATGGGACACGTAAACTAATATTTAGTTGAACAACCCTTTGAGCCAATCACTGCAATCAAGTGTTTTCTGTAATTCTCAATCAGACTTCTGCACCTGTTGACAGCTATTTGGATTTTGTCCCACTGCTCATCAGCAAAGTGCTCTAATTTGTCCAGGACAGCTTCTTTTAAATTAGTATTATTATTCTTTTCACCCACAAGTCAAAAGCAAAGTCTTATTTCACTATATTATAATTCAGCATTTTTTTAAAAAATGTATTATTACTTTTTTTCAGTTTCTAGTTATTTGAGTGACTATTAGGAATTTTGCCTTTTCTTTAATGGAAGGGTATGAATACATTTGAGGACGACTGTAAAAAAAAAACAAAAAAAACACTGTACTTCACACAACATATATAGTGCTTGTCCCTAAATATAGCTTTTATTTGGGTGGCCAAAACCAAATAGAGCTGATCCCAGAAAAAAGAAAAAGTCTGCTGCAATGGTGCATTCACATGAAGCCGATGGTCGGCTTGTGACTACAATGTTCCTTACAACAGCTGACTCCTGACAGTCAGTGCTATTTGAAGTCACCCCCCCCATTCACTTCCCATGGTTAACCACAAACAAATGCTCTTTGGGAGACACTGACCCACTGAAGCACATTTCTCATCTTAAAGATCAGCGGTAGAATTGCTTTGTGCTGGTCACACTGAGTAGACGTATATGGCTGCAGGGTGTATTGAAAAGCAGATAGATAAATAGCTTTTTCTGATTGTTACGTTTCCTTAAATTTACATTCATCAACCTGTGTCTGTTTTGATTAAAATAGCACTACCTAGGGACTGTAAGCTCTTTTATCGCGCTGAAACTCCACTGGCCGCATGACTCACGTACGAGATTGAATCATACAGTAGATACAGTACCTGCCTCGTGTCTGGAAAATGTAGACAGACAGAGGAAGCTGCAGACTACAGTTCAATAAAGCAAAGTTCTGACGGTTATGGTGAATACAGAACAGATTGAACTATATGTAATCGCAAGATCCTTGGACTGAGTTGATACTATATTTAAAGGGACACTCCAGTGATTGAATGTGAACTCTTTCAGGATACAGTTACTGGAATGTCTTTGTATTGATAGAACCATTACTGTGGATAGTAATATAAGTTTCCCTATATTACAGTACCTCTGCTGATTAACATAAAGACTATTCCTATGTAAATTTATATTAGTGTTACACCTAATGCAATGAAATTCAATACTAAGCTGACAAGGACTTCTAAAGCGCAGCACCAAATTGCTTTGGTGACAATGTGCTGTGTCACTAAGAATAAGTAAACAAATATTGAATCAATTTATCAGTCATCTTGGGCAGCAACTATTTTGTTCATTAGTAAATTGCTATTTCCAGTTCATTGTGTTCTTTATTTAAAGTCAAACAGACATAATTAACTGCTGTTGATACTGTTAAATAACTTTTATTCTAATAGAAGTTGTTCAATTAAAAAGTCAATTATCCCTCTGTACACAAACCTCCCAGCAATAGTTTCAAAAAAACATGTTGAAATATAACAGTAGGCATAGCACAATTGTACTTTAATAAAAAATAATAAGTTGGGTTTAGCTAAATCTGTTTCAGGGTCTTGGTGTTGTATACGGTGGCTTTAATGACAAGTAAAATGCCTGCTGTTACAAAAAATCGATTTCAGTAAACTAAACAAAGACAGTTAAAACAGTATGCTACAATATTAAACCTTGTGAGGCAACAGATGCCCTAACTTTAATAGTAAATCAAAGGCAGACTAAACAAAATACCAAGGAACATTCCAACATTGCAGAAGTGTCGTCATCATTATCTGACAAACCTTGGCTTCCCCTCAAAGAGAACAACAGAGCAGGTTACATTTCTCAGTCAGCAGGCTACTTTTTACATACAGAGTTCCTCATCTAGACTTGTCATATTGAACATATTGTAGTAGAACCTAGAACAGTCACGGATAAGAAATCTGGATATTTAAAATGGTGCCAAAAATCTCAACTATGAAGTGGAGCCCCTGTTTTTGATTAAGATATCACAAACCCCTATAGTCCTGAAGGAGATTCTGTGGCCTGACTTGAGATTAGTGGGTTAGCGAGGTAAGTTGAGCTTAAAGTCAGAGTTTTCAGTGTCATGAAGGGGGCTCTCTTTTTACCTGCCAGATCTCCATGGTGACTGATGCTGTGGCGCTAACCTGGTCAGGAGCAGGTTATGTTTAGAATTTCAGATTTAAATCGGCTGGAAAGAGCGTCTCCCTTTAACCAGATCGTTTCCTGACTATTATTTATGAGCGATCCAGATTCTCAGCTGACGGAATGTGTTTTATATGCAAACATGCTGAGTCGTGCGTTACTAATATCACTGAATGAAGCCGTGTCGCACACAGTATTGCATTGCCTTGGGAACCCGACATGTATGTAGCTGGCAATGCAGAAATCACATAGATATGTTTTTATGTTTGGCTCTGATTTGCTGTCAAGTCCATTTACTCTACTGCTACTGCAGCTGATAAAACACAGATTAGAAAATGGATTATTCTCCTGGTATTTACTACAGAGAATATCCAATCAATAACATTAATTTTGCTTTGATTTGGCCAAAAATTAAAGTGATATCCTACATTATGGGACAGTGTCAGACCTAAATGCACTTCAGTACAAGATCAGGTTTAAATATATGAAGCTTAAAGCTGAACTTTAACATGCAGCTGTCAGTTGGAAATAAGTGGCTACATCAGTAAAAGTTTTCTACCAGCAATTCTGTCTTGCACCATTTGCAGTAGCGGCGCTTTTTACCGTCATAAATGTTTATAGTCCTCATTGTTCTCTATTAAAACAACCTATTGACTTAAGCAGCTGCACACAATCATTTTATTTTGTGCAGAAGAGTCACGTGACGCATTAAACACCCCTTTTTATGTGAACGCGCACAGAGTCTGAAGCAGAAAGTCTGAGCTGACAAAGATAGTTGATAACCACCTTCATGATACTCATTATCTCTGATTGCGGCTTTCGTTTTTTGTTGAGCCGTCTTACACAAAGAAAGCCTGGCTATGTCAAACTTGCTTCGTAGGATACCCTCTGATTAGGTCCTCCATGTCAGTCATACAGATTAGTTTCTTCAGCTTTATAATGCCTCCTGAAGTTTGCACACACACGTGCCATAACATTTATGCCATTTATGAACCCAATGATCGCCATATCTTTGCATTTATGCCAACCTGTAAAACTAACCATGCATTTCTTGTTGTAGGTGTGTGAATATGTAAATAACCAGCAGAATCTTACCATTGTTTCCTCTTAGAAAGGCATCCCCATACTTGTTCTTCAGCTGTCCATTGACATACTCCTCTGTCTGCTCTATGGCGATGTTCATGTAACCATCCAAACAGGCCAGAACACCTGCAGACAGACAAACACGTTCAGTGCTTTATGTTAAACTCATCATTTTTCGGGAAACAAGTGACACAGCAGCTGTATTACCTCTGTAATCGACACCAGAGTTCAGTTTGACCACCACAGGTCTCCCAATGATCTGCTTCAGAAAGTCACTCGGGGTTTGCTTTCTAAGACTCATCTTGACTGTGATCTGAAAGGATTGAAGATAAACAATAGATGTAATGTACGCAGTTTACATTAAGTAGCTACATTAGCATAATACTCGCCCACTCTCCCATGCGCTATGGCGTTCATTTAACTAACCAAACAGTCAGGTTTATATAGTTTTTATTTAGTGTCGTAATGTTTCTGATGTGACTAAACACAAACGAAACAAGTGACAATACTGTATGAACATGTAGCATTAGCTGCTAGCTAATTGGTGTAGCTAACCTGCTAACTGCAACTCTTCAATGACTCTTAATGACGGGAGAGGGTCGTTTTTCTTGTAAATACGTTGTTTACGTTTTGTGGCATCAACGCGGACAAACAGCACATCGCGCAGAAAAGCCTTTTAATTTAATTATCAGCAGCCTAATGTTTAGTAGCGTTTCACTTACCCGACAGACGTTTTCCAAACGATTGTATTTAGCATGGACGGCGAACTGACCAATCACGAGCTTGCACTCGACGGAACCTGCGTGAGGACAAAAAACCTAAAATGCGCAGCGGAGTGTGTGAAGCGACAACCGCGCAACCTGCAGACACAACATTAGCCAGAGACGAAGACCCTGCAGGTATGTTGTGGTTTGACAGCATGACATTGTCTAACGTGTTGAAGACATGTTTTCAGTCAATCTGTTTGCAAAACTGTAGACTTCTCTGTAATGCATCCTGCAGCTTTTTTTTTTTTTTTTTGCAGCGATGGAGAAATGTTGCGACGCCTGTGATTGTACAAAGAAAATAAGTGTCTTGTCAAGTTGTATATGTGACTCGTTAGTATTCTAAAATGTGAGTACTAGTCTGATCCTAGCTCCTAATGGACAACTCATCTGTGTTTATTAAAAGCTAAAATAACAAACCGTTCCTTTGTATTTCATAATTTGGAAGTGTTTTTCATGTATCTGATACTTTATATTCACATAACTTGTAATCTAGCTTAAAATATCATGACCACAGCAACAGAATTTAAGCTTCAGGCTGATTTTAAACAGAAATATGTTCGAAATCACTACCTGAAAAAAAAGTCAGAGCATTTTTTTAAAAATTATTATTATTTAACACCAAAATAATATTTAAGCTATATAAAAGCAGGTAATCCGGACAACATGTTGCTGATAATAATATTGATAATGAACACTATGTTGTCTTGGTAAAATCAAAATATAAGAGATCAATGTTCATTATATAAATGTTTTCTCCTGTTAACAATTCATAGTTTCTTTCAGTAGTTCATTCAAATTTAATGTGTGACTGTTTTAAAAATACAAATGCATCACTAAAATTCTTAAATAAAGATTATGTGGAGAGTTGATTTTTGTATAGCTTTATACAATAATTTTGTCCAGCATTTTTGTGGCTAAACATCAATTCCTGGAAAGCCCTGAATCTCCCAGATGTACATATGCAGATTATATGCAACATAATCTGAGGGAGGATTTTGCTGCTGTGTTCTTGCACAATGCTGCGTTTTTATCTACAGTACAGCTTCCATCATGGAGACTTGCAGACTTTCACTATCTGTTATTGAAAAATGGCTGCTGCTAAAAAGTGGAGTTGGCGACCAGATGTGCAGCTCTGGTTTGATGTCTGCCAACAAGAAAGGAAAGCAGCATCTGATTCTTACTGTAAGTACAGAACAGAGAACTAACAGGTAACTGTTTGTATAATTAATTTACTCTTTTTGTCAATTTTCAAGAATTTTTCTTGGTCTAATTGATGACTTGTTGCTTTCCGTTGACATGTGATAGCAAAGTGACTGTTTTGAGGTTTAATGTTGAGTGAATGAAACAAGCAGTGTGAATACATCAGTTTAGACTGAGGGGATTGTAACAAACATTTTTCACCATCTTCTGACATTCTTAGACAAAACAATTAAAGACTTTGGGACAACATTTTGGTTTCTTAGGGAAGAGGAGAGAAATATATGGATAATGTTGGTATAACATACATATTTGGACTAGAACTACTGAAAATTCCTAAATGTTTGTAATTTTAACAAATTTGTCCTGATATGAAAATTAAATGTTTTAATTTCCACAACTAACAATTTTACAACTGTATTTCACAGAGACCTGATATTTCCGACTAATAGTCTTATTATTACAACATAAATCATAATTACATTGCAGATACTTAACTTTTATAGTCTGGTGTCTGAAAATGACTTTAGTGAGCTTATGCCTCTTTAGATTGCATATTTAAAAAAAAACTGTAACAGAATTATTTTCTTTTCTTTTCTTTTTTACAATAAAGGATATCTGCTTTCAAATGTTTAAAAAAAAAAAAAAATGCCATGCAAAAATTAATGAGATGCGTTATAATTGGACTAGGATTCTTAGTTTTTATAAGTAATTGAAATTAAGCGTTGCAAAGGTTTCAGATCTTTTCATTATACTTATCATGCGGTGGGTAAGCTGTGTTGTGAAGGATAAGAGAAAGTCTACCATCTGATAAAACTCAGGTTGTTGGGTGCATGACCCAAACAGTGCACAGCTTGGGAGGTACATGAAAAATGGTGTAGGGGGGGAAATAGGGATGAAATGGTGAGGTGAAAGATAGAAGAGGATAGAGGGCGGGAGGATGTGCCAGTACGTGTTAGCAGAGACAGAGCGGTTGAGAGAAAGAGAGAGAGAGGCAGAGAGACGGCGAGAGAGAGGGGGATTGTGAGAGGTGGAATCATAAAGTACTTCTTGTGTGTCTAGACAGGTTGCTTGTTAGCAGGGCATGGCTAGCCCTGTGGAGGCTAGAGGTTAATTTGGTATCTGCTGCTGTGTTAAACTAAGGTCAGTACTACAAGTCCTTAAGTCATAAACAAGAGTGGTTAAGAGCCATGTATACACCTAGGCACCGGTTAATGAATATTCAATGAAGTTTTTTTTCCCCTTGTCCCCTGTTCCTTTTGTCGTTGCTTGCTTTGAAGAAAATTTTTGGAAAGAAAAAAAAGCTCAGTTTAATCTCTGTGGCCTTCAAAAATGACCTCTGTGCACTTACATTTACTTATCCTTTGTTATCATAATACATGGCCTTAGTTGTAATAGAAACTATTACTATTTGAAATGTGGCACGCTCATTATGCACTTCTGTCCCCGAAGGCACCAAATGTAACTACCCATAATTTGATTCCTTAATACAATAAAACCAATGATGTAATAATAATGTGATCTTTTTTTCTTTTTTTTTTTTTTCAGGTCACAAAGTTTGTGGTCAAAGTAAAACTCTGACTTATGGTCAAGGCTGTGTCCTCACTGGCATTTGATGCAGAGGTTTTAATATGCAGCTTTGTGCCTGGCAGAAAATATGCTTGACCTGAGCTCTCACAGACAAATCATGGCATCCACAGGCCCTGATATAAGTGTGTTTTGCTTGTAACTGGCAGAAAATTCACCAGCGATGGATGATAAGTCAGCCGCAATAGAGGTTAATTGTAAACATTGACACTGTGGTCTAAAATCATGGTTAAAATTGCATCCCATTGCACCACTTATTACATGTCAATGGTGGCCACACATTCTGCTGCCTATACATTATTTAAAATTAAAGCGCGTAGGAGTTTAAAATGCCAAGGTTTTTTACATCCTCTGTAATAGCAGGTGAATACATAAGCATTAGCAGTCTTTGTTTTTGCTTCCTAGTTTCGAACTAAAATTATGGATGACAGCTAGAATTTTAAAATATATTAATAATATATTAATTAATTAGCTGTCATTATTGTTGATTGGTAATCAGTCTTTTTTTTTTACATTCAGACAAGCTCACACTTTTCAGAAGGTATTAGGTAACAGATTTTCCTGTCTTATATGAAATCGTTTTTGTTTTTGTGTTAATATAATATACAATGAATAGCATTATATGTCACGTTTTGTTTGAATTTAAAGCTGCTATACTCAAAATGAAATGGGTCACCTGTAGTGACAAACTCATAATGTGTTGTTATCTGACTGTGCAGTTCCTCTCAGCTTTTTGGAGCATTTGTGTATCTTTAAGCTCATTGTTTTGGGTTTACAGCTTGTTTATGCTTCCCCCAAGACACCACAAAAACAGGTAGTATATGTTTAATATAGCTCTTTGTAATCCTTCAAATATACTGGGATCTTCTGTATGTTACTCTTAAATTATCAGCATTTTAAAGTAGTTATAGTATGAGAAGGTGGAGACATATTGGTATTAATACTCGGGGTAATATCAGTGTTAACATTAGGTTTATTGGCAGCATTGTTATAATCAGTCACCTAAATTCATATTAGAATAAATGTGTTAGCTATCTGATGTACACGTCAGCTCAATGAAGTCACATTCTAATACTTCATTTAAATAAACATGTAACCTTAATGTCTGGACAAACAGTGAGTGATTTTTCTTCAACAATGCTCTGACCATCCAGTGTTAGAGTGGTCAGCCAGAAAGCATAACAGCAGTGCTGTCAATTGACAGACAAATCCCGTCTCCATCTCCAGACCCCTTAACCCCGAGGGACGGGCTAGTGAAATAGAAAGATTATGGTGACGGGAGATGCTATTGTAGGTGGGAAATGGGGGACTGGACCAAAGCAGGCAGGGGCTCGAGGTGAGTGGGAATAAGGAGGAGGGGGCACATCCCTCTTGTATCCTAAAGCAATATGCAGGACGGGGTAGAGGTGGGGGATGGCAGTGCAGGATGGGGAGAAAGTCTAGACTGCATTGACCCTTCTGAAGCCAGGTTTTCTCTTCAGGTCAAGCTTGATATGGAGAAGATAATGGAAAAGCTTGGGGGAGTTTTCAAATAAAAAAACAGATTGGTAGACCGAGTATCCCTGTTCTTGCTTCAGTGTAATCCCTAACTGTATGGAGGTAATAGCTTGGAAGTGATGGGAGACCTGTCTTCCATCAGAAAGGGGCCAGAAACCTCCATTGCATAGCTTGATGCTTGAATCTGTTGCTTTTGTAGCACCAAAGGTTGTTTTAAATGGCTGACTTGTTCAAACCTCTTGTGACTCTGTCTATGCCTGGCCTTAGCTGTACAGCAGCTACAGCATTTACCAAAACAGGTAGTCTTCACATCCTCTATATAGTCACTGAAAGAGTTCTGAATCCCTTAATCATGGCAGATAAATGCCAAACAATGAAAATTTGCCTGCCTTGGTAAATTGCTCACAAAGTGCAACGAGTGTCCCTGTGCGTTGGGTTTTTGCTCCTTATTATTTCCATGCCAATGACACTTTGCTCAACTTCCACTTAATGACTCAGCTGTGAGCGCTGACAGTTGACAGTGGCTGGCTGGCCTGGGGGCCCCACGCTGAGAGAAGGGGGTGGCGCAAGGCAGACTAGGTGGGATGTAATCACTCCCTGTAATTTGGAGGAAATCCACTGAGCTGCTCACAGTCAAGATGAAAGCCCTCCTCTTGTTCCGTCTCTTCACAGCCATCAAGCTTCACTGCTTGCAAAAGTCTGAAAAGAGAGGTTCAGAGAACCAATTCTG